GGATATTGAAAAAAAAATCTACAGGGCATATTTTGCATATCACTGTAATTTGATGGCCTGCGATTTCTCAAGAAAACAGAAATGTGATAAACATGTTGACAGTTAGTTTAATTCCAGTTAGTCTGACATTTTTTTTTGACTATGTCATCGTTGCTATTTGTATCACACACAGAAATCACTTTGCCCAACCTAAAGAAAAAATTGGGGGATATTTTGCTATGAGATGAAACCCTCTGCATCAGAAAGTAATATGCAGCTGAATTCTGCATTATGCACTTCTGTCCATGATAAAATGTTAATGAAAGTGCATTTAAGAAACAGATAGTTGGTTTAGTAAAGCCTGTATAGCTGGTGGATAGTTTGCAAATCTCATCTATAGTAGCAATAAAATACAGCGTACTGAAGAACAAATGTTGTAGTCCTCTGTGTGACAGATACAAYGAGACAAAGTTATCCTATGGAATACACCCCTAGTCCGAGAAAACTGAAACATGTTTATGACACATATGATCCTCTGTCGTAAATGTAAATTACATGTTGACTTTCCTGCCCTGGGGTTCAGGTGTGAACAGCTCTGAAAAATTATACATAGATAACTGTTCTTCAGAAGTCATGCATGGAAGAGTCTTTTCTGGTAGCTTCTGGTGGAGAAARAAAACACACATACTATCAAAGCGGTATACTTGAAAAAAAATGGCAACAAAAGAGAATTTTAGAAATTCCCTTGCAGAAACTCCTTTTGTAGTTCRGTGGTTATTCTCATTTCAAGTTTCCTGCCCACTACAAAAGCATTTTCTGCTTTCAAACTTCATGTTGAAAACTGAAGTGCCAAGTCAACTTTTGCAATTGCACTTCTTCCTTTTTAAGCCCTAATTGTCTTTTTGTTTTTTTATCATTTTTATAAATTCTAAATTTAAGGTGCTAATTTGCCTTGTCCTGTTCAATTCTCAGTGCCAAACTGTTCAGCAGAGAACTCCAGGACAGGCTATTCAGCTTCTTGACAGCAGATCAGGTTATACTACGAGTACTTATTCAGAAGCCAGATGGTCAAACCACTTTTAATGTTATTTGAAGGTGAAAAATAACACCAAGGCAGAACAGAATTGACCTGTGGGCAACCCATGGAGAGTTAAGGAAGGGAGATAAAAGCCTAGMATCAAAAAATATTCTAGTTTATGTTCTCAGACCTGTAAATGATGCACCACATGAAAAAGAAAAAAATCAGGACAAGTCTGTTGGTTGCTTCTTCCCCCGTGCTTCCCACCTCCAAATGTATCTGCATAGACCTACATGTTGATGTGAGTGGGGGATGTTTGAAAAGGTTTCCTCAAAATTTCAGACAGTCCAGAGTCTATCACTAGTTTCGAAAAGCAAACTGCAGTAAGCAGAGCCTCGTCGTACCCCAGTCCCCACRGCTGCAAACGAAGGATAATGGTTAAGGCAGCTCATAGGGATGTAGGGAGAATCCACTAGCTGGCCAAGGAGGTCACACAGAGGAGTATTTAATGTGTGTAAACCCATTTATTTCTTCTCCTATAATTATGGATAGCAGAGCTGGGCCTTGTATGTGCTCCTTTACAAGAGCAGCACACAAAGCAGAGCGTAAACAAACCAGGGTGATGCAAGTGTCCTTGACAGACAYGGAGAAATAGATGCTGCAGATGCATCTTCTCTCGCCTCCTGCTACATACTGCTCCACAGAAACCTAGAGTGCCCTGTGAGCAATGCTCCCTTGTTTCTTAAAAACACTTTTGGCTTTTTCCACGGGGATTGTAGTAGTGATTTTTTTTTTCAAATGCTAGAGTCCCATCTCTCTCTCTCCACGTTTCACCCAGTCATTTTTGAAAAGTACTTTTGTTCTTTCCCTTCAAGTTGGCAGGGAGTTAAAGCTCCACACTGATGAGTGACATTTTCAGGCAATGTTTGTCTGCTTTTTCTCTTTCCACTTCTAATGCTGCCTAGGTCTAGAAGGCTTCACCCATCCCTCTTAGTTGAGGATCCCTTGCAGGTCATGTTATCAGATGCTGCCCACAACCAGCAGGTACAGTGACATTTCTCCAGGTGTCAGCCACCTTTTCGCCCCTGCTGCCCTACTGGGGCAGATCTGCTTCAGATGAARTGCTAACACCCCTCTTGCCACAAGGATTTTCCTCCCTTACTTCCAACTTAGCAAAAAAGGAGAGATTTAAGTGTTCATCATGGTTTCAGTCTTCCTGGAATTTTCTTGCACTCTTTCTAGGCATTAAAAAAAAAATCCTTTTGCAATCCCATAATTACACGTATGTACTGTTGTAAGAAATAGCTCTGAAGGGACATCAAGCAAATAATACCAATTTTCAAAATTCTATAGCAATGTATTTATACAAATTACAGATTTCTGTATGTATTTACACACCAGTACAGAATATCAAGTAAATAACACCAATTGTTCTTTTTCTTTTTTTTTTTCCCCTCAGATTTTTCTTCAAGTGAATTTTAGTGCTGAGGAAAGGTGCCAGATTGACAGCACTAGAAAATGAAGATTTCTATTTGTCCACAGCCCAGGAACAGCCAGCTGAGGTATCTTCAGACCTGTTTGGSCAGCACTGCGTGAGGCCAGGCAGGGCCTCCTTGCCCATCCATCCTTGGCACAGGAGCAAAGCAGCACCCAGGTGATACCGGCTTTGCCCATCCCACGTCAGAAAACAAACAGAAATAGCTCATTTCACATCGGTGACTGCACAAAATCTGTTGTTTGCTACTTGAAACAAGCTGAATTTGACCCAGTGAACCTGCAGCGAGTGGCAGGGTGCCAACTCCTGGACCATCCACTCTCGCAATAATGCCTATGTTAAATTACATGTTTCTATATTTACATAAAGTCAGTATTTACACACCATTATGGGTTATTAGAGTAAATTGGTTACAGTTTATTTATATGGACTGCCATAAACTCATAACATTTTTCTTGGTTTTAATCCTTTCTTTAGAAAAATACAAAAAAAAAAAAATAAATTAAGTAACACATGTTAACTAGTAGTAATGATTTACCTATGACTAAAAATCCAAGTTGATTTAACATTAAGCCTCAGACCATGGCCTAGTATTCTGACCTCAACTCATAGTATTTTTAACCTTCACAATTAATTTTCTGGTGTATGACAGATTTACTGAAAAAAAAAAGAGTTGCAACCTTCATTTTCCTGCAGTAGAGTTAATCTTTTCCATACTAAGCAATGAATCCTAGTACTTCCCAGCAGCTCATTTTATTGTTTGATTGTCCAGGAAGGTTTTACACTTTCTGGCCAAATGATTCAGCATTTGGTTAGCATGCAGCTAAATTGTGGGCAAGTTTCTGCAGTTCTGAAGGGTTAAAAATAAACTAGTGGGCTGCAGCACAGTGCCAGAAACTCTTAGACAATAACAGTCCCTAGACAAATAAGTATGTCTAACTGTATCTTACAAATCAACTAACTTAATTTACATATCTTTATCATTACACAACAATTAAAATAAAATGCCACCTTTTATTTAAGATTACTGGTATTGCAAGTTGAGATACGGCCTCTCCTACCTGCCAGAATATCGAAAGGTCAGGAGTGTTCCAGACACCAAGCCATAGGTTATTCCAGAACAGATTTACTTTTCAAAAAACATACGCTTATATCACACAAAGAAGTGTGCATTAGAGCTAAAACAAGTCAGGATTACTTAATTAAAAATAGGCTAAAAACTTATGTATAGCTACTCCAAAGTACATTTCCACTCGGCCTCAGTCAGTGCCCCTGAGGACAGGCATGGGTGTCACACCCAAGCATTCTCCCCATAGATTCAATGGCAAAAGTTGCACTCATTTTAATGGTACTAGATTCAAAACTCCAGGGCTGCACTTTAAAATAAATGTGTTCTATGCTTTCTCTCTCTTTTTTCTTCTGGGTACTGGGTGGAAAAAGTTTCTTTCTAAGGGTTAATTCCCAATGGTAACTACTAGTCAATGTGTTCACCTGCTTAACATAAAATGCTATAATTCCTTAAATATTATATACTGCCATCTCACAGTTCATGAATATTTGAACATATTTCAGGGAAAGAAAAAAAACAAGTCTAATACTTTCCCCCTCATTGTCATTATTTATAGAGATTTATTAGTTTCATTTTGCAAGTTTTACTTTAAGAAGGGTGCTAGTATCATGTATTATGACAGTTCACACTGAAAGCAATTTTCCATAAAAGATGTTACAATGACCCCTATGGAACTTGTATAATTTCGTAGTAGATAGTCAAGTGCACAAATAAACATGTTTACAAGAGTGATCCTATTAACCTGGCTCTTGCCCTCTGAAACCATCACGTGCTATTTGTGGAACCTAAAAATCAGTACAATTGTTGATATTACTTATGTTGTTTCTGGCATCCTCCTTTAGGAAAAAAAGAAAAAGCATATTTATCATTTAGCTTTGGTATAATCTTCAATAGATTTTAACAAGTAGAATATATTCCAACCCCTAAATTTTCCACATCTGTGAAGTTTACAGCAATATAATAAGTCACTTTATCAGAGAGGAAATATTACAGACACAGAAGAAAAGTTGAAGACCCAGTTTTCTTTTTAATCCTCTGGGGGTAAGCTATGAAACAAGCAGTCAGAGAGTGAGTACTCAGTGTCATGAGTGGTGTGCATACTTTTACAATAATATGGGCACAAAATAGATTGTCGCCTTTAGTACATGAGGGTCACTAGAATTTATTATTAATAATTTTTTATTGATTTTTTTTCTTTATTTATCCATGCACCTTTATATTTACTTGCATGAATTTACCACAGGTTCATAGCGGCCTTTGCCATTTTAATGCTTACAGAGCCTAAAGCTTCCAAAATGCCTATCTGGCCTGTACATATTTCATTAAAAATAAACTCTATATAATAAATAAATATATAAAATAAATAAAATGTTGCCTTTGGAATTTCTATAAATAAATTTAACTTTTTTTTACTTTTATTTTTCACTAAGAGGTCTTTGCTTTAAACTCAGTGGGTGGCAACCCAGCGAGCAATTAACTGAAAAGTCTCTTGTTTAAGTAAGACTGCACCCTCCATGCCTTTGCAAATGCAGCGTACACTTGAGCAGGCCATCAGCCAAAAATCCAGATGAATCAAAGTATGGCAGCTAGGCTGATATATGACAAAGTACAACTGATCAAAAATTTAAAAGCGTGTCTATTGCCCAGCATGCATTAGGTTAGGCCCTTTTCTCCTTGCTTTTACCTTCCTCCCTCTCTCACTGCCATTCACGCACCCGACTCCCCTCGCTCCTTCGCTCACGCGCTCCCTGCCTCGTAATAAATCAAGCGAGTGGGCAYAGGCTTCCTCCAGGAGGGCAAACCTTTAAGTGCAGAACAAAATCAGCATGTTCCCTCCAAGCCTCCATCATACATTATGCATGCGACAAAGTTTGGCAACAGTGGAGCTGATGTGATGACACAGCTAATCGATAAGAACCCACCGTATGAAACCTTTATAGTGGTTACTCTTTAAGGGCTCAAGTGAAGGAATTGTCTTTGTCAACTTTGGCTTAAAATATCCTTATATAGTTCAGGTACTTTCTCAGGGTCCACTGGTCTAGGTAAAAAATGTGTAAATTTTTGATGCCGTTTAGTCCTAGTCCCTTCTCTTGGAGTCCCATCTTTATTTAACGCAACGTAGTATCGTCTTCCAGTGTCCACGTGCTTATATAGATTTGATGAATATGTGTTATACCAGTTTTCTTCAAACTGCTCTCTGAATACACACTCCTGGGTTAATTTTTCCTATAAAAAAAAAAAAAGAAAGAAAGAAAAAGTGAGGAACCAGTCACACAAAAAAAGCMTCTATCTTAAAAATTACATATATCTTGTTTACTGATCAAAATCAATACCTCATGGGTCAATTCATAAAATGAATCATTAAACGTTCCTAATTTTAACTAAGTAAAAGCTGTATTCCTGGGTGTGCCATAAAGCAATCACAAGGGTGAATAACTGCATGTGAAGCAAAWCTGATTCTCCAACATCCTGGTTGCCCAAATCAAAACAGCAACAACAGAAACAAAAACTTATTTTTTCCCCCCAAATCATTCCCAAGCAACTCACAAGATGTTACTGAACTGGCATAAGCAGTTGATTGCACTGCATGGGAAAGTGCTTGAATTGCAAGACATAGCAAAAGGGAAACAATGGTGCTCTTCAGAGATCCCATACAGCACAGGGCTTTAAAACTACTATATCTTTTCCTTGCAAGGAGTATTCATATCGTTAATTAAAAAAAAAAAAAAAAAAAAAAAAAGAGAGAGATACAATTTAGTAATCATCATTTGGTTTATTGTTGGCATTACAAGACCACAGCCAGAGCAAGCACAAAGCCCACGGGGTGCAATGCAGGTAGGCAAGGAGCAGCCTCCAGGTCTTGTATGGGGTTGACCTGGTGTCTGGTTGATGCTGTGGGCTCCCACTGTCCCCAGCTCACTGGTCATTCCCTGCCATGACATCCCCTGTTCCTTCTGGACTGGATGGGCTGGGTTTCCTGAAAAAGCAGGGATCCACTAACCTGGTTCAGCCTGAATTTGGAAGCCCTCACACAAGCCACTGAACAAGACTAGAAAACATRGTGACCTCCAGCCTGGCAGAGCTGATGGACAATGGGGAAAAAGGAGCCTGGGGGCAGTCAGGTTATTCCTAGTCTCTCTCACATAAATATAATATTGATAATATAATGCAATTTGATACTACAGAGCATTGTTCAATGCCCTTGAGCAGAATTCACAGCAACCAGATTCAGCTTCCAGCTGAGGTGCAACTCCTTAATGCCAGACAGTGAGGACTTCTGCAGATAGGTTTCACAGAAATCAATCTCGAAACAACCCTTTTGGATGGCCATCCAGAGAAGGTAAAGCGGAGACCAAGGTGTAGAGGCAGGAAAGCATCTAGGTCACCTAAGCCTAAACGCCAAGCATGACTAAGGAGGCAGGCCTCCAGCTGCAGGTCCCTCCAGGAAACATGGTCTGGGGCCTAATCCAGGACCCAGGCCTCCAGGCAGGAGAAACCTTCCTGGAGGTGCTTTGACTGCAAAATTTTCATGTGTGAAGCAGCTCAAACACAGCACCCCTCTCTCCTGCTCACCTAAAGACAAGAAACAAGCACTTGTTTATGTTAAATCCTAATCTATGGRGCAGACCCTGCAAGCGCCTATTGACAGTCACATCTACTTCGACTATGAGGAGCTGCAGCAATAATAAATATTACTGGAACCAGAATCAGCTGAAGCTAAATCCACTCCAGCATCTGTCTTGTACAGGCTCAGAGTACAAACTATGCTGTAAAAATGATTCAGCTGCTATAAAGATTATCATTAAGTACAGCTCTCATTAGAGAGTTTTATTTTGCATGATGTTTAAAATCACTTTGTTTGCAGATGCTAAGGGGTATTATATATTGGGTCTATAAGTCTATGGGGGGAACAAGAAATTAATTCAGACTGAGCTTTCGTGCTCTCCAAAGGCAGGAGGATCACATGACAAACACTGCAGAGGCACTCTGYGCTAAAAATAGCAACATTTTAGGAAGATATTTCAGTCTTGTCTCGAATTCATTAATTATTCACTTCATCTGCATTTTTTTAGCATGATCATAAATTTCTATCTTTGTAAGAACAGTACTTCCCCGTGCCCTGAAGGAGAAATTTTAAAATAACCTCTCCCTATCTGGCAGGTTTGATCAATTATGACAGTGCTGTGGTAGAGGGTTTTGTATTATCCTGCAGTCTGGGTGAGTTCAGGGGATTTCAAGACTACAAATTGAATCTTTATTTTGCAACTGCACCCTGGTTTTGCATTGCTTCCTCTTAGACCACAGCTAGAGGATTTTTTTGTCCCTTAGCAAAATTCTGAGCAATACTTTGTTTAGGGGAAAATTAGACCTAAGGGAGATACTTCGGTGTGAACTTCACACAACTGTCAGGCTGCAGGTAAGGATTCTCAGGTACCTTGCTGATCGTGCTTGCAGAGAAGCAAAATAATTTCTTTAGAAATTCATGGAACAGTTTCTTTCTACGACACTCAGRTATCCTGGCTGTAGACATTGGCCACTAAAATAAACTGCCCCAAGGGACTTTGAATCAGGCCCTACAACTAATTTAGGACCAAGATCCCAGCATATTCCCACCAGAGCAAGGAGGGCTCCTGTCCTGATTACAAGGTGTTTATGCTGCCGGGGGGATTGGACTTGCAGAAAATCTCTATAGGCACAGCCTAAGCCCAAGGTTTAGGCCTAGAAGACAGCAGCCTTCCAATGCCGTTATTCCAGCAACTGGCATCTCTATCATTTCTCCAGTGTCAATATTTCCTTGCCCCCTATTTCATGTCACCAGACATCTTTGAGGAAAAGAAACACAAATGCCAAATACACCCTACTGCAATGKCTGTAGAAAACAACCTGCATTCCTATACAAGGGGAGGCTGCTTGCCAKCATGAAATCATTTAATTTGGGGACCAAATAAGGAGGTAACCTCAAAATTATCAGATATCACACCCCAAACCACATGTTCTCAGTGAAGACAGTTTATGCAGTATTCTACTATAAAGTGATCAATTCTTTTTTTTTACTGTATTTCCATGTGTTGGCTTTTTTTGACATTTTATTTAACTCAAGCTGTTCAAATAATTGAATTGTTCAAAGACACGCACATTGCAGGGGTAAAGGAACCAACGTGGATTGAATTCAGAAGCCTGATAAAGGCTGTGACAGTGAGCCTAGAGCTTTGTTTCTCTTTTTATATTCTCCACCACCCAAACTGTAGAGAAAATAATTATATCATTCTACTTCCAGGCAGATCCATTAAAAGTGAGATTATAAATCAACATAGTAGAGGGTTACAGCTACCACAATGAAAGCTTTAGCTTCTTACTTAAAATAGATATCCCTATGAAGCAGCTAATAGAAAATACATGAGAATAGGAAAAACATATATGCACTGCCCAGAAAATGGTTTCATGACTGTAAATCCAGCAAGGCATTTGTGTTGCTTAGTAAATGAAAAGGCAGTACAAGATCCTGTGTAAAACTTGTCAATATTCATTTTTTTGTTTTAGATAGACCTACAGAGTTAAAACTCTACTTGTTTTGTGATCTGATGAAAGGAAACCTCTTCTGAGCATCATTCCTAGAAACATAACAAACACATTTCATCTTTAGTGAAACATTTTATTTCTATGCCTATATATAGTTTTGCCTTACGCAAATTACTACACTGATTGATTTAATATAGACACTTTGCAAGTAAACAATCCAAAAGTCCAAATGCTATTAAAAAGTAGTACATCTAATGTAATCAGCCTTCTTACACATCTGCTCTCTGTTAATCCACCCTGTCTAAATAAAATCATGTTTAGATATATTGTCTCCTATATAAGCTCGTGCAACTCCCTTATTATGGCTATATGACATTAATGAAAACTATATATGCAGTGAAAAGAAAAAAAGGACAGAACTGTTCTCTTCCAAGTTGGTTTTCTTTTCTGTTCTGCTTACAAACACATACATTTTACCCCAAACTGGCCCTTCCCACTCTGTAATGCAAACAGTTTTTAGAACATACCATGTTTAGCTAATAATTAATGCTAGCAAGAGCTGTCATAAACAAGTCTGTAGTAGACTGCTTTGCCTGATGTCCCATGTAAAGCAGGGTAGCCTCTGGCTGAATGGACCGGCTCCAGGGTAACCTCAGGCACCACTGCAAGGCAAATACTGCCACTGAGCAGTGTCACTTTTCTTCCTAAGTTAGTGGCCACCTGCGCCAGCCAAGCGCTTCTTTTTGAACGTCTGATTTAGGGAATGCCACGGATTTCTCTTTGACAGGTTTCTTCGTGCTATGTTTTTTCCATAACRCCGTTTGTTTAATAATTTGACAGAACATGACAGGGGAAAAAAAAGTCTGCCAAAAATACTAGCAGATTTTTTTGTGTCAGTATTTCTCCATGAGCACTTGAGGAAGATGTAGGAAATCCTGCCTGTCTAGAAGAGATATCTAGCGAATAAGTAGGCGTACACAATGCCAGTTACATGCATTTGATATTCCATGACACTTTTATAAAATAAGAGAAGTTACGCAAGGTGTCTTGATAAAGCCCTTGTTGGGCAATTGCATTTTCCTTACTCACCTCACCTTGCACTTTCACATAACAAGAGTATTCATCTTAGCTTCTCCTAAACTGCTAATTCCTTGGCATGAAATTTTTATTATACATACATCTCACAAAAAAAAATCATGAATATTCTGTACTACAAACATGAAGGAGTTCTGAGTGCTTAAATATTAGTATCTTCCATTCAAAAAGTTTGTAAAGTCATCACCACCTTCAAAAACTTGGAAGCCTTTGAGCATTATCATCACAAGGGGCAATAGCTACACACACACAGAACCCGCGATGGCACCATGGCACGAGCAAGGTGATAGAAAAGCAGTTGATGCTGCAGTCCTCTTATTTGTCAGAAAACTGTTGTAATATCTCAGGAGCTTTGTAAGTACAAGAGGAGTTTCCTACCTTCTCCCTCTTCTACCATTTCCCTTGTTTTTCCCGCTCCATGCCCTCCATGCCATCATGGATTTCTCTGAGTGGAGCAGATGGGGAGGCAGAGCTACCACCCTGCACACCAGCATTGTTCACAGAGCCCTTCCAACACAAACTGCAGCAGCAAGAGAGGCCAGCTAGGCCTCCATCCATTTTTGCCACTGCCAAATCCACAGCTATTGGTTTTAGCGATATGCAACCACCCA